ATTAATATCCCCCTTTTATTGTATTCCCGTTGTGTAATATCCCCCTTATGTAGTATCTTTCTCCGAATGTAGTACCCCAGGTACTATTCAAAATTAAGCTTAGATTTGCTTGAATAGTACCTGATACTAATGTCTGCGCTATACGGTATATCTGAAAAAATTCCTCTATTCTGAAGTTCACAGGGGAGACATTTGCGTTTGGCATTCAGTAATCATTGAAATAATCCTTTTTCTGTGATAGGAACATTAGATAATCTTTGCTCAATACAACACACATAATCCCTAATACACCGCATGCGGAATAACATCTGATTCGTCCCAGCATTCATTTCTATATAATTGTTAAAAATGCAAAATGCCCGTTCGAATTTAGGATTAATGCAAGATACTCCTATTTTTAGAGTGCTAGTGTAGGCAATTAGGTCTACGTCTTTTCATGATTCTTCTACATTACTGAAGTCATGGGCCTTTTCTACTGGATCAGATTTACCATGATATTCCTTGATCCATAATTTCAGAAAATCAGTCTTAAGTGCACGAATAATCCCTTGCACATCCTTTCTGAGGTGGCAGATGAGTGATGCACTGGTTCGATTCTCAAAAGGTAATAAAGACATTTGCTTGGCCTAATCCCAAAGTTCGGTTAATACAGTTTCTTATTAGAAGCCAAGCGGAATGTCTTACCTTTCTGAGGCTGGTAAGTATTGTGGATAATAGAGAGAGGTATATCCTTACGAAGGGCCTTAATTCATTCAATGTTGAGGTTAGTTAGGTCATTATTCATAACAATAATACGCCTCACCCCTTGGATTAATTTATATAACTTTTCTATCAATTGACCTGCCAGACGACTTTGTGTTTGAGCAATTATAGATACTATTTCATCAAGTCATAAATCATATTGGCTCAAATGGCATTTACAATTTTTATTACATTTGCAATTATTAGTAATACGATGTAAGCTCTCTATCTGACATACTACCCTCTTGTGATCAGATAGATTTATATTACCATCAATATCGCAATATGATTTGAGATTAAGTCTTGTAGTAACAGCATTAGAATAAGAGTGACGCGTGGATAATACAAGCAAATTTACATCATCAGAAATAGTGAGATGTTCAAGAACATAGGTTTTTCCAGTTTCCCAAGGAGACCCTACATAAATATCACCTTCATTGGGTAATGGTCTTACATATCTTTCCTCATACGTTTCTGTTGCTGAAAGGGTTTCATTATACTTGACCCAAGATGGGAATTTTAAGAAGGCTTTTGGGAAACCCAGAACCTTGACCTTGTGAGAGGGTTGTAGAGATTTTTTATTTTCTTGCTGAATTTTTTCTGCAATAGATGGGTCACATTCAAAAATTTCCCCACACTCATCATTATTTTGTCAAAAATATTTTACAGTGAATTCACCACTACTAGCGCATACACGGCTGAACCACCGCTGATCCTTGTCATGTATACGTTTGCAGAGTGGACATTCTAGTAGAGCTTTTCGGTTAAAATATACAAAGTTTTCTGAACCCTTTTCTTCGATAGTCTAATCCCTAAGATAGTTAGAATACTTTTGCAAAACTATATTTGCATATTTTTATAATATATCCGAACTCACGAATATTCTTAGCGGATTATTTTTTTTTTCTATGCTAAGCATCCTAGGTCTCACTTACAGTCCTAAACTAGAAGGCGGTTGAATCCTAGCAAGATCAAGTTCATTCCAGCCATTATCTAGTGAAAACTGAAGGATGCTTTTTACACAACCTCTTTTTGCCGAACCAATTAGACGAAGGTTAAAATTCTAACCAGGCAACCCTCAATCAATATACTTGCTGAATTTTTCACCGGTTATGGTATATACTAATTCAGTAAATGCTTTGAGTTCGTGATGATCAATAAGAAGAGCTGATGCATATAAAATATGGTAGCTACACTTGCTAGGGTCCAATGATGTAGTGATTACCAATCCTCTGAGAATATCTTCTTAGCTACAATCAAGAATTCGATACAAAGCTCTTATGAAAGATAAACAGATTCGAATGAATACTTCTTGTGTCTTAATTCCATTTGCTACCATATCTTCTTGTAAAGTATCTATATCGATCACAGCTCTTAAAGGGTTTTGACCATTAATATATTCATAAATCTCAGGCAAGCCGTATACTTCAGAAATATCATCTGCAACGGAAAACTTCGGGGCTCGATCACCATCTTGGTCAATTTTGATAACTAATTTATTAACTACTTCATTTCGGTCATAAGCATTATATAAACTAGACCCCTTTTCATTCAGAAAGAGGAATGAATAGATTGGGAGATATTCCAATGAACCCTTTTCATCTGACATATCTCTAGGTGGTGATAGGAAAATTTCTCGAATTGTATTTAGCAAGTCCTTGGAAGAAAAATTATCATTAAAATTTTCCTGCCTTAAAGTATATATCACATTAATCTTTTGCTCTTGTACGTTTGATAACTGAAATGATGGAGTCACAGTAATGCTGGTAGAAGTACAGGTGATTTCTTCACTATCTGATTCACAATTGAACTCATGGTTATTATAATCATCTGACCCTAAGTCGTATTCATTATCAGCACAACTATTTGAGTCACTTAGATATTCATCGGGGCCAGCGCTGTCGTAGCAGGTGAAAGGGCCAGTTCTAGTGCGATCAGTTTGGTCAAAAATAGTTGAGGTATACATGTTATTAGTATGAAAAGATATATTATCTCTATAAAATTTGGAAATGGTTAATTTATTTTTTCGATGGTTGCAAAAAAGAGGCGTATAGCACAGTTAGCAAAGGACCAGGAATAAATGCATTCTTGATAGGTACAATCTAGGGTATTCTTCTCCGTAATCATTATATAAAATATTGGAAGAAGAATACCCTAACACTAGTATAGTACCCAGGTATGGTATTAGCCTTCGCGTAATATAGAGGTATACCAATAAGAGATACGAAGTTGGCACCTCCAATTCTCTAACCAACTGATCCACTAACCCAAACCCCAAATGCCACTCAAATATTACTCAAATATCCCTTAAAAGTTGCAGGAAGGTGATGGGAAAGGGAAAGACTAGAGGCTGGTCATGTGATATCAAAATTTAGGCGTAGTAAGTTAACGACCAGATTTTGGATACAATAATTTGGCATTTATGCTGGGTGAACTAATATAAAATCTTTGGATTGACACTATCATCTGATGCTGAGCCTTCTGGGATCACTATTATATAATTCTCCTAATAATATGTGAATAGAGTATCACCTGACACAGAGCCCTTTGGGATTATTATCATATGATTCTTCTAACAATACACTATCAGGTCATTGCTATGGCGCCAAGCTGGATTTCCAAATCAAATGCTCAAAAAATTGGCCAAAATTATGGCATAGTGTTGGCCGAAATTAATCACAAATTTACTGCGCCACCTGATCGCAACATGAATTTTACAACTAATTCCGACATAGCAAATTGACCATAAAAATGTCACAGAGCATTAAAATCAAGCGGATAGCTACAAGGTAATAAAAAGGCCACAGAGTAATGAAAACAAGCGAATATCTATAAAGCAATCAAATAGCCACAGACCAGTGAAAACAAATGGACAGCAATAAAGCAACAGAAAGGGCATAGACACATAAAAATAAGTAAGTATGTATCATTATAGATATAAGTAGGCATTACTATGGCATAAGTAGATAGAATAAGTAGACTTCATTATAGATATAATGAAGTCTACTTATTCTATCTACTTCTTTAAGAAAGAACATTTCTAATGTTCTTTTTCTATCTTTTTTTTATAAAAATTATTTTTTGTTTCATGAATTATGTAATTAAATAATAGCGATAGCAATAGTATTTCATTTAATTTCAATATTTTATTTAATAATAGACTAGTTTGTAAGTTTGTATCATGACCATTACATAAATTTTTTTATTACATTATAAATAAATAAATAGATAATTCAAATATTATATTTCTTCATTATTATTATTATTATTTTTGGCTAATATATTCTTAATCTCTTGAAGGATATTTACTAATTCAATACGGGATTTATTTGATAGACTTCGAAAATGCGATTGATCTAAATCACCTAAAAAAGGAATTAACGAGTTAATAATAGATAAAATTTGTGATTTTTTTAAAAAACTTTCAGTCTTCTAAAGATCCGCTTCTTCACATGTTATAGAAATCGGATGCCAAACACCTAATGATATTTTTTTAATTAGTTTTGCTTTAATAAATTCAATTTTTTTTATACTTACAATTTTACTAAACCTCTTCATTTCTTCACTTAGGATCCAATTTCCGCTCATACTTTGGAAAATACGGTTATTGACATTTGGATTTACAAATTGAGTTTTTCTTATTTGAACCCAAAACTGATATGATTCGGCAATAAAGCTAAGACGAGTACGAGGCCCATGAGTTTCACTTTCAGAATATTCTATTATATTAAAAAGATTAGTACGCAATTTCAAAAATTTGGTACAATTACGCGTTACAATTTCCCAGTGTCGCTGTGAAGGTATAGGAGGAATTAATGATTTGAGTGCTTTGTTAATTTCTTCAAGTATTGCATCATGACCTTAGTGTTGATCTAAAAGTTTAGATCGTGAAGTTACAATTTTTTTTGGAATTAAGTTATAAATTTCAGGTCTTAATTGTAACATTTGTTCTTCATCTGTGATTTTAATTAATCGATAAATTGGATGCCATCGAGCAGACTAAATAGGAGCAAACATTTATTTAGCCACGATTCTTAATAAAGGCCTATTGAAACGAACCTTAGTACAAAAATTAATAATTGCTTGTAAATAAAAAAAAACTTGTTCATACTTTAACTTAAATATAGGATCAGTTTGATTTTAAGCCTATTCTAAATAGCCTTCAATAGAAGGTTTTTTTTCAGAAATAATATATGGTCACATTAATTTAGAAGTCATTGCATGTCTATATATATTACATATTGAGTCCCATGACTTATGATGATCAGAACATTTTTTGAAAAATCAAAGTTGATTTTCAGTTCGATACCCTTGATATTAAGCAAAATCTTTGATATCAATATCCCAATTTAATTCAATAAATGCTTTTAACATGTTCATTTCTTCATGAAGAGCACCTGGAATTAATATAAGCCAAGAAAAATCCTTTTTTATTTTTTGTATATGATGATA